CCCTTCTCTGAACTCTCTCCAGGTTATCCGCATCTCTCTTGAAGTGCGGCGCCCAGAATTGCACGCAGTACTCCAACTGCGGTCTGACCAGTGCCCGATAGAGGGGAAGTATCACCTCCTTGGACCTATTCGTCATGCATCTGCTGATACATGATAAAGTGCCATTGGCTTTTTTGATGGCTTCGTCACACTGCCGACTCATGTTCATCTTGGAGTCCACTAGGACTCCAAGATCCCTTTCTACTTCCATGCCACCCAGCAGGTCATTTCCTAGGCTGTAGGTGTGCTGGACATTTTTCCTCCCTAGGTGCAGCACTTTGCATTTCTCCTTGTTGAACTGCATTCTGTTGTTTTCTGTCCACTTGTCCAACCTGTCCAGATCTGCTTGCAGCTGTTCCCTGCCCTCCGGCGTGTCCACATCTCCCCATAGCTTTGTGTCATCTGCAAACTTGGACAGAGTACATTTCACTCCCTCGTCCAAGTCACTGATGAAGACATTAAAGAGTATCGGTCCAAGGACCGAACCCTGCGGGATCCCACTTCCCACACCCTTCCAGGTCGAAACCGACCCATCCACCACGACTCTCTGGGTGCGACCCTCTAGCCAATTCGCCACCCACCGGACTGTGTAGTCATCCAAGTCACAGCCTCTTAACTTGTTCACCAGTATGGGGTGGGATACCATATCGAAGGCCTTCCTGAAGTCTAAGTATACGACATCCACCCCTCCTCCTGTGTCCAGGCGTTTCCTAACCTGGTCATAAAAAGAAACTAGATTGGTCAGGCACGATCTGCCTGCCACGAACCCGTGCTGGTTTCCCCTCAGCATAACTTGTCCTGCTGGGCTCTCACAAATGTGTTCATTGATGTTCTTATTTTTCTTTGTCAAAACTAGAGGATTTGCATCCCGATAAAGAATAATTCTTTTTTAGATTTTCATTGCTGTTAAACGTCAGAACTACTTTTAACCATGTCAATCTGGTCTGTTTTCTATGTACACAGAAATAATATTATTTTCTTTCCCTGCTTTCTTAGTAAGTGATTTTATTTCGAAGTGATATTCAAAATTAATAAGTAGATGCACAAAATCTTACACTTTGTGCAAGTTTGTAATGGTTAAATCACTAGTCAGTCTATAAATCACAAAATGGAAAACTCAATAAGTGTAAAAGACAGCACCTATCTGACTGTGCTCCGAAATAGCAGAACAGAATATCACATTTCATGTTTTAACTGCAGATACATCCTCTGAACTCAACACATTTAAAATATATATTTATTTATGGGGGGGGAGGGGGGGGGGGGAGAGAGAATGTTTCTTTAACAAACAGCATTGCATTTTCCCCTATTTGGAACACTAAAAATCACAATAATCTTGGAACTGGGTCCAGAAAGGACTAGAAAGATAAAAAATTTGAAGACACACTGATGGTCAAGTTCAGTTAATCATTTGACTTTACTGCCTTAACAATGTTTTTTCAATACTTAAGCTACTTACGGACGTTAACACACACACACTTACACACTTTACTGGAAGCAGCAGTGTGTGAGCTGGACCCGATTCCACAGCGTCTGTGTAGATCAGGTGTTTCAGTGGGGCTTTTTGGCACTCCTATTTAAAGCACATTTAATCAGCTATTAGATAAAAGCGTCAAAAAAGCCCCATTAAAGTGCCCAATTTATAGAGATGTTGGGTGACCTGGGTCCAACTAACGCAATGCTTCTTCTGAGCATGAACTGCGCTCAGAGCAAGTGCCACTTTTTTTTTTTTTAAACTTCCGTAACCAGCCTTAGGCTATAAATAGACATTGCCAAAGGAAGCAAATCCACTTCACTGGGTGAAACGCACACTGCTCATTGTCCCACCGGGTTAGGCTGCCCATATTTTCCTGCCCTAAAACAAAAAAAAGTCCACTGCAACACAGAGGTCCAAATTGATACTACTTTTTCTCATGGTCACAAATTAGGGCATCTGTGGCATGACTAAGGTCATGGACATAGGTTTGCTTTCAGTTTGTGCTGTCACAAAAGTTATGGTAGAATAGCATATACCTCAACATGTTTTAAATCATATAACAACATATGTGATCATATAATATTTACCTGGCGAAATACTTCATTGACAAAATTGACATAGCCTCGAGTGGACAATAAAATCCTCTGCACCATCTCATACACTGACCGATGTTGTTCTTCAATGCTGCAAAGGCTAGAATTACTGAGTCTCCTATCAGACAAGGTGCTACTGTTGGAATGATTTCTTTCTTGCTCCAATTGTGCGATGGCTTCCAGCTCAGGGTTCTTATCTTGAGTTGAACCACCACCAACAGTCTAGACAAGAGAAAATGCCGGCCTAATAAAGCAATCACATCATATTGTACTTAAGCAGGCCAAAAACCCAGCGTAACTTAGAACTTACTAGCAGCTTCCCCCAACCAACGAACCTCAGGATCCATTGAAATACAACTCTGAACTGACTTATTGAGCCAAGCAAAACATTAGTCTCATTTTTAGTGCTTAATATACAAACTCTTTTCCCCTATTCTGCTGACTGTTTGTCAACCATGTAAGATAGAAAACCATACAATGAGATGAACTGAACCAGGTTGTTGGTAAAGGAGTTTTAATCACTTTGGTCAGGTACAGACATTACACTTTTACTGGTATAAGTGACTGGAAACCAGTCTATACCTGTAACAGAACAGAAGTGTGGCACGCAAAACCAGTCTATACCCATAACAGAACAGAAGTTTGGCGTACACAGCCTGGTTTAAAAATGGCAGAACCCAGTCTAAGATTTGCCCTCCCCACCAAAAGGTGAGTGTGGGTTCTGTTTGCCTATCTACCATTACAACCTCAGTTTCTCCAAAGTAAGATCCACCTCTAAAGATTCCTGCTTTCTAAAGAATAAAAAGTAAGACTCGTTGGCCCATTATGGACTAAAAGAGAGAGAATTTGGGATCCAGAATATCCCCCAAGAGAAGGAAAAGAAAAAACAGAGTAAGAACTAACTACAGTAGGAAAAAAAATGAACCCAGTATGCATACAGATTTGAGGCAGTATGGCAGAGTGGTAAAGTATAAATTCATCATAGCTGCAACATTTTGTAATAAAAATACAGTTAAAGTTATCCAATCCTAAAACAGAAAATGACAGAGGACAGTCTTTATAAAAAGCCATTCTGTAAAACTTATTCACCGTAACAGAAGAAATGAAACACTGAATGAAAAGTGTGTCTTCCAAAATTGCACTTAAAATATTTTTTTCACTAAAAAATTCTGCCAAGACGTAAAGGCTGAATAGAAGAAATGCACCATCAACATGCTTTTGATTTAAAAAACGCTTACCATAAATTTCAAAGGTAGAAGGGAAGCAGAAGTCCATGTTTTGTGATATCCGAAGTCATTAAGAAGTTGACATTTATCAACAGTTGTCACATTGTTCTTATACATTTCAATTTATAATAGGACTCTTAAAATCCCTATGTGGTAACTTACTGAAAATTAAAAAACTATCACTTTACCATACCTTGGCATGTTTAAAACAACTATTTTAACTGGAACTAATTGCTAACTCTTCTCTATGGTTATGTTGGATGTAGCTTGAGAGATATTCACTATCAAAACCATGGAGACAAAGAACATTAATCCATGGTATTTGGAGTTTCAGAGAAGGTGAAAAAAATGTATAAACAAAAACCCTTTCCTATTAAAGACTGATAAGACTCAGTTCTGTTTAGACTTTGAATTGCTATAACATGCACTACTTCTGAAGCAACCATCAGTGTATTAAAATACAAAACTTTACAAGGGCCATTTTGTTATTTATCATATACTTTCCCAACCAATTACAATTTAGTATTGATATGCCAACTAGCAGCAAAACATGAGACATTTTTCTCATTTTTTGTAGTATTTCTTGAAAATTTGCAAAGTAAAAACTTATTTATGTGAGCAATATGCTGATGTTTGAGCATTTCTGGATTAGAACATAAATGTATAGTGATAATATTCAAAAGCAAACTTCTGCTTTTTAAATGAAGGAAAGGACAAACCACAACAGGAATGTTTTCTTACATTACTGAAGGGATTCCTCCACATACTCAGAAAAAATCACTTTAAACTTCATCATTCATTCATTCACCTGAGCACATTGTTTTTTTTGCTTCAGTTGTCAATGTATCATGATTACTTGCAACCTTTCAGCAAATATAAGGAAACAAGGTAAGTTCTAAGGCATACCTGGATGATTTTAGGCAGCACTTCACCTCCATTTTTAGTGCCCTGAGCTGCTGCCAAGTACTTTTTCTCCAGAAAGAAGGTGACAAGCCATTTAATAAAAACAACACGGGCAGCCATATACGGAATTTTCGTGCTGTAAATGTTTTCATTGTTTCGGGTTGCAGTAATGTACACTGGTTTTGGTCTCAAGTCAGGAATATCTAGGTGAGATTAAACAGAAAATAATAAATATAATATTTAAAAAATGTAATGGCTTTCAGGCCTTGGCTAAAGAAAGTGAACATTAAACCTACAACTCTACCCAGTGTGAAATAATAAAAGTTATTTTTACCCCATAGATATTATGCTTATTAATAATATGTACTGCCATCACTGTGATTGATGCCAAAGACAAATACGACAAAGCACATACCAGTGCCCTCAGAACTTCATTCATAATGAACAAGACAGAGAAAAATGTAGCAAAAAAAAAAAAGAAGAGAAAAAGAAAAGGACTGGGAGGCAGGGACAAAATTGAAAGAAAGAAAGGACACGCGTTATAGTATAAATCAAATCTTACAACTTATTTTTGTCAATTAAGACAGAACAGGGAAGGAGTAAACAAGACAGGAACCATGAGTGGAAAGAAACCTATAGTTCCAACACAGCACCTAAATCAGTACCTAGGGAACTGCTCAAAGACAAAAGGATTTCAATTTTAAACTGAAGGAGGCTTTTAATCACGTAATTGCACATTTTAGATGGCTGTAGAGTGCTGACTACTCTCCTCAGAACCACACCACCCTGTTACTGCATGCATACACTCACAACTGCACTTAGCCTCATCCCACCCTCACAAATGCTGCACACACACCCTCTCCCTTCAGGAAAGAAGAGGTAAAATACAAACTGTACGTAAGCATATACATTTATGACTACATTTGTATCACAACTTCTCCCTGATATCGGGGCAACATACAATTCTTTCAACATTTGGTCTGGGTCATTTATTTGGTCATTTTTAAGTGATCCAACTACATATTTCTTGTCCACTTAAAAATGTGAAAGCAGTGGAAGTCTTTGTTCTTCAAGGAACATAGGATCAAGTCCGACCCACATGTGTGTTGGGGGGAGGGAGGAGAATGAAGGGAAGTGTCTTAGGCTGCTTGTACATGCCACAGGGGTTTAATTTGGTTTAGTTCCCCCTAAACTGAAATAGTGGGTTTTTAAAAATACCACTTCAATTTAGGTAGAATTAAACTGAACTAAACCCCCACGGTGTGTACACAAGGGTGGGGGCCTGATCCTTACCTGCCTCTTTGGTGGTGGGGAACAGGGGTGAGCTGCCAGCAGGCTGACCAGTCTCAGCTGTGTGGGGGCCCCCCCGAGGCAGCACCTGCCCGCTGGCACCCAACCTGGGCAGTCCCGGGGGGTACTGCTGCCGCGGAGTGGGGCACTGGGCCCCCACACAGCTCAGGCAGGCTCTGGAGACGGGGAAAAAAACTCACAAAGATCAGGTTTGCCTTTTTTTTTTTTTCTTCAGTGGAGCCTGCCCGCACGGGTTGCCGCTGGGTCCTACAGCCCCTTCCAGCACCCCGTGCACCGTTGCACTTTGTTTGCTAGAAAATAAAACACATCAGAGGTGTTTTATCTTGCTACGTACCAAAATCGTCTAAGGCGGAATATGCCACTGAGTGTGCAAACAGCAACGCCATTAAAGCGGAATACACTGCCGGACGTGCAAACAGCAATGCCACTAAAGTGGTGCAAAAGGGCATTTAAGTTGCTTTAAAGGTCAGTTTTGTGGCATGTACAAAGGCCCCTAGGTTCTGTCAGCTGCCCCTCTGGGACATGAGGAATTGCCTTCGGCCATAGAACTATAACAACTTTGTGCTCAAGGCAATAAATGAGCAATATCTGGCCTTGAAAACAAAATTTGTCTTTATATGAATGGCACTTTATATTTTATTAATATGCTGTATATAATTATGTTAATATAATCTGTTTTATGATTACAGAAATGTAAAAAAAGAAAGTCTAGAATAGCACTAGGGAAAACTTTTTTTTTTTTTTGGTAAGACATTAAAATTATTACAAAAATTATATATGTCATACACTTATTCAACCATAGTCATAATGATCCCATAGGCTCTACAGAAAGTAACCACCATAACTTTTGCTACTTAAAGGTAAAATTTATTACTTACCAAGCACAGGCTTGTAGAGGTTGGTTAGTTTTGTAAAAGATGGAAACAAGTGTGGAAGATAATACTTTCTAAACAAGGTGAAGAGAAACTTAAAACCAGTGTCTTGGTTTTCCTTATTCTTCCACTCCAAGCTTGCAGCCTTTGCCATGGAGTCAAAAGAGATGTTTCAAGTTAATACACATTCTACTGAGATGCTCTCCAGGCTAGCAATAAAACCTGTTTTACTGAATGTGAATGATGGAAAACTACACTTCAATAAATATAAAATATTACTACACTATTTCATACCTTTACAAAGTATAACAAAAGTATAAGAAAAATGTGGTATGTACCACATCATTTAAAAAGCAAACACAAAGAAAACCTATTAACAGTTGACACATATATACTGTATAAAGCAGTAATTCTCATAAATGCCATGAAAAACTAATGCAGGGGTTTAGGTTGTAGCCGTGTTGGTCTAAGGATATAGGCAGACAACGTTCCTTGGGTGAATTTGATATCTTTTATTAGACCAACCCAAATGGTTGGAGAATAGTTATTAAGCAAGCTTTCGGGTTCAAAAACCCTTCGTCAGGCTAAGGAAGCCTCATAGGCTCGTCTCTGGGATGTGTTGTGTAAATTTCCCTTGAGGATCAGGACTGAGAGATTGGAGAGAGAGTGGCCCTCCTGTGAGAAATGTGCCCCCACCGGTAATTGAGTGTTTCTGTCTTTGATGGATTTCCGGTGTGCATTCATTCTGGTGCGCAGTTGTTGTCTGGTCTCTCCTACATATCTTCCATCAGGGCATTTGGTGCATTGGATGAGGTATACTACATTCCTGGAGGTGCAGCTGTAAGATCCTGGGATGCTGATGGCTCTGTTGTGGGGTGTAGTAATAGTGGGGGTGGTGGAGATGTGGGGGCAGGTTTTGCATTTCTTGTCATGGCACGGTCTGGATCCTTTTGGTGTGTTCTGGGGTTGAGGAAGTTTGCTTCTGGTGATGAGGTTGGCGAGGTTCGGTGCTTGTCTGAAGGCTAGGATGGGTGGCTCTGGGAAGATCTTTTTAAGAATAGGGTCTTTTTCTAATATGGGTTGCAATTTTTTGAGGATTTTCCGTACAGGTTCAAGGGATGGGTGATAGGTCATAACCAGCGGTGTGCGATTTGTGGGTGCTTGGATGAAAAAACTAATGTCATTAATAGGTTAGAATATTACCAAAATTAAACAAATCTTCTTACTTATAAGTAGGATTCTATCAAGCTATAGTTTGTCCATTATATTTCCCTCTCTTAACCAGCACATCTAAGTCTTGACATCAAGTGAAGTTCCATTGGCACATATAAGACACCCTTGGGAAGCCTCACAGGTAATTACCATTGGCATTGGAAAGCTGACTTTAAAAGTTTAAGATTTTTTTGTGTTTAACTATATCAGAATTGGTGTGTGTCAGGTAGAGCAAACATATAGATTAAGTAGGCTTTTAAACTCTATTCTGCCACATAGTGGTCTGCAATAGCTCTGCCAGTCTGCAATAACTGTCCAGGCAGTATTAAATTGCACTAAATGTGGTAGTCTAGAAGTGATGTGGTAGCTTTGATAGTGCAGGAAATATGCAAGAGGCAAGGATTTTTGTTGGCAATACACTTTACTGGACCAACTGCATGGTTGGAAGAGACTTGAATCTAAGTTTTCAGGTGCCACAATACCTTCCTCAGGGCTCTGGGAAAAGAGAAGATAAAGCAGTGCTAAATAGCAGATGGAACATGGGCTTTTGAGGTACTCAAAAACTTGTCTAAGCCTCTCCCAACCATGCAGTTGGTCCAATAAAAGATACATATCTCCCCAAAAAATTCTTCTCTCACACACTAAATAATGTGTTAATTTTTACACTGGGATGCATTTCCATTTCAAAGTAGGCATGACCCAACACAAAACTCCACAGGGGTCAATTCGCTTTAAATTATGTGTGCTATGTACTCTAATATTGAGGGCAAACAACCCTCAACATACATACAAGCTCGGTGGTGACAGCTTGACTTGTACCACGGGTGAAAGGGACCTAGGGGTAATGACTGACCATCACATGAATATGAGCCATCAGTGCGAGGCGGTGGTCAGCAGGACAAACAACACACTGGCATGCATCAACCAATACATCTTGTGTAAAACTAAGGAAGTGATAACTCCCACTGTACTCAGCACTGGTGAGACTGCAGTTGGAGTATTACATCCAGTTCTGGCACTGAACTTCAATAAGGATGTGGAAAAACTTGAGAGAATCCAGAAAAGAGCCACCCGTATGATCAGGGACTTGCAAGGCAAGCCATAAGAGGAAAGGCTGAGGGACCTGGGCCTCTTTAGCCTAATGAAGAGAAGGTTGAGAGTGAAATTGAAAGCGGTTTACCGCTATATCAGGAGTGCATCAGGAGCTTGGTGAACAACTATTCACTAGGGCACCCCCGGGGAAGACCAGGACCAATGGATACAAACTCCTGGAAGGCCACTTCAGGCTTAATACCAGGAAAAGCTCCTTCATAGTCAGGGTGTCCAGACTGTGAAATAAACTCCCTCCAGAGGTGGTGCAGTCACCTACCCTGGGGGTTTTCAAGAGGAGACTGGACAGTCACCTCTCTGGGGTCACGTTACCCCAGATGTCTTCCTGCCTAGACTGGGGGAGCTGGATCCAATGATCTGCAAGGTCCCTTCGGGCCCCAAACAATCTATGAATCTATGAATGTTACTGCACAGAAAAAAGTACAAATAGTCTTGTGTGTAATAAAGGAAAGACTGACTTCTTACACTGTGTAGCATTACTTGTTTTTGTGTATAGATATATGTTAGGCTTCTGTAGAAAACTTGGTTATTAAGAGGTATATTTATTTTGATGTTGCTTTAAAAAAGGGGTGGGAGAAAGCTGAGCTGAAAGAGGGTATCTTATAAGAATATTAGAAAACTATGCTGATTTGGGTTTACATGAAAAAGTACAATACAAGAGAAGAAAGGCCAGATAAGTTAGAACAGTGATTATCAAAGGGTATGCTGCAGTGCAATAATGTTCTGCAAGTGCTGTGAAAAATGATACTTCATCAGTATCAGATCTGATCCATGGAGGCATATCATTCGGCTTACAGGGCTCCCCTTGGGTCCAAAAATTTGGCATTGGGGGAGCAGTGACAATAAACACTGGCCCTGCCCAGCAGGATCAGGCCCCAGCTGAGCTAGCACCACACCCAAGAATGCGCCCACAGACCAGATCCAGCTCACAGACTGATGCAGCACCACTCATCCAGCCTTCAGGGCCAAAAGGTTAGGCACCACTGCACAAGTCTTATAGTTTCCTAACTTTTGATACCTGAGGCACCCTTTTTCAGCATTAAAATCAGTGGCACACTTAGACACCAGAAAAGCATATGTGTCCACATGTGGGCATGTATATGTGTGCATGCACACTCTTGCATCTATTTATCTAGCTATGACAGATAAACACACACAAGTAATGCCATATCTAATGATCTGTCTATATATACAGACAGACAGGCACTCCCAAGTAATGTCATCCATCCATCCATCCTTCCATCCATCTTTTGATAGATAGATAGATAGATAGATAGATAGATATACTCTGGTGTGTTTATCTATCTGTCTATATCTAGAGATAGATCATTAGATATGGCATTACTTGGGTGTGTTTATCTGTCATATATATGTGTGCATGTACGCATGTGTGACAGATAAACACACCCAAGTAATGCCATATCTAATTACCTCACCAATTACCTCACCAATATTTTCCTATTAAAAATAGAGCAGCAATATAAGTTCTTTCTTTACCTTGTTACAATTGATTTTTATTCAGCCATAACCTTATTACATTTTTCTACTTTCATCAATAGTGGATCTCTCAAATCTCCGAAGGTCTTACATCCTGTGACTAAATTAAATCGCTCCTTCTAGTTACTAATTTAAGCCTGTTATGTGATAATCAATTTAAACGTAGAATATTCTGAATGTTTCAAACTATTGTCAGATACTAAGAGCTTGTGCACAGGTGCTTCTCTGTAATGGTAAATTGAGAGAGAGAGAGCGAGAGAGAGAACAGCCACACTGACCAAAAAGTGGAGTTTATACACATGTGAAATTACTCTTTGCCATCATGCTGCAAAAAATTGATCAAGATCATAAATTCATGGATTGAATCTGAAAATTTACACCTCAAAGCTTGCTCTGTTTTCTCTCTGGCCATCCCCAAATTCAACTGACAGTAAAATTCCAGTAAAACATGTAAAGCTTTTTATGCCATGACTTATTTCTTATTGTGCACCTTTCATCAGGGGTATCAGCTGCCCTATAATCCCCATTTTTAGATTACATGCTTGGGATGCTGGGAATTTTTTTGGTCTCAGTTCAACAATGTACTTAAACCAAACAATTTACAAAGCACCAATTCCATGTTCAACATAAATGAAAACATGAAACAACCAAAAAATGAATCGTGATTTGGAGTTACATGCACAAAGTTCTTTCTCTCCAAAAATATTCTATAAAATGTTCATAACTCCTTTAGAGTCATAGATTCATAGATGTTAGGATCGGAAGGGACCTCAATAGATAATCGAGTCCGACCCCCTGCATAGGCAGGAAAGAGTACTGGGTCTAGATGACCCCAGCTAGATGCATATCCAACCTCCTCTTGAAGACCCCCAGGGTAGGGGAGAGCACCACCTCCCTTGGGAGCCCGTTCCAGACCTTGGCCACTCTAACTGTGAAGAAGTTCTTCCTAATGTCTAGTCTAAATCTGCTCTCTGCTAGCTTGTGGCCATTATTTCTTGTAACCCCCGGGGGCGCCTTGGTGAATAAAAACTCACCAATTCCTTTCTGTGCCCCCGTGATGAACGGGGGTTAGGTCCTGAAAGGTTAGGATTTTTATCTATCACTTTCCTCCTGAATACATGGCTTCTCTTTAAGGCTAGGGACACACATTACACATAAACTGATTTAAGTGATCAGAAACTGGTTTAAACCTGTAAACAGAACAGATGTTCAATGGACATAAACCAGTTTGAGAATGGCTGAAACCGGTTTGAGACAAACCTGGCTGAATGCAGTATCAGACTTAATTGATTTGGCTCAAACTGGTTTATGCAATGTCTGCCCCAG